GGTTGGGGGCGATGTCAACCATGAGGTACATGCCGCGGGCGTGGAGGGCGTCGGTAAGCTCCTTCAGGTCAGCCTCGGTGCCGAAGTGGTCGTTGAGGGAGTAGATATCCTCAGTCCAGAAGCCGTGGTAGGCCTCTCCGGCATTCTCAATGAATCCCTCAATGTTCTTGACGATGGGCGAGATCCAGATGGCAGTGGCACCGATGTTCTGGATGTAGTCGAGCTTGCTTGTGATGCCCTTCCAGGTACCGCCGCAGTACTTGCCGATCTGGGTGTCGCATTCTGGGGCCGAGCCATCAGACGTGGCAAAACGGTCAGTGATGATCTGGTAGATGCTCTGGTTGCGCCATCCGGCGGCGTCCAAGGCGAGGGCGCCTTGAATAGCCCCGGAGGCCAACAAAGAGAGAGTCGATGTGTAGCGCATGATGAGTGACTGAAAAGATTAAGGTATTATGGCACAACTTAATGACCACAAGAGGAAAAAAATAAAAAGAGACAATATGAGAGGCAAAGAAAGTTGGGCTTGGTTAACGATTGGAGGGTTATACCCGGGCAGGGATCAAAGGAACGACAACAGCACAAGGCAGAACGAGTGATGACCTTGAATTCAACTGCCGCAGTTGCAGATGCAAGAGAGACCACCAAGTGTAAAAAAGTGACAGCAGGATTTCGCCGGTTATATTCGCGGCGACGACCATGAGGACCAGGGACAAAATGGCTCGATTCGTCGCCGTGACTGCGCCGCGATCAAGCGAGGAGGTCCCGCATCGCTGGTAATTCCCTTAAATTCCCCTGTCAACAACGGGCGGTGCTATTGGCAAGGGACGAGCGAGTTTCCAGATCGAGGGGCCGCAACCGATTCAATCCAGTCGAGGTTGTCCGTTTTGAACGAGCTTCCGGCCGCGGATCCATCCGAAGATCCACCGGCGTGTCAACCCTGACGGGTCCATGGCAACCGTTCAGGTGCACCGTGCTGCGAAACTTGAGAGAGTCCAAAGAGGATTAGGCGAGGGGGAGAGTCCGAGGAGGCCGAACCGGGACATTGAGCAGCTTATGAGGAACAAGACGAATCGCCTCTGGAGAACTGATCTCAAAACCCACGCTGATCACTCGATCTCGCAGCAAGATCTACGCTGACGAAAAGTTCGCGCCAAAAGATGCGGCTCTTTGGTGCGAAGCTTGAATCGCGAAGTTTAGAACCGGAGAAGGTGGATTTTGACGACCAACACAGAAAAAGGAGTGGACCCGTCTCCACCAGCGTCCCGATTAGTCGATATTCTACTCTCCCTTAATTAATAATGTAACCCTCATTGGCTTGGCTATACGAGAACGGTCGGGGGTCTCGAGTTTGCCAGCAGGCAAGGTCGCATGTCTTCGTTAAGGGGCTCGCATTGGCTTGAGTCGGACGACCTGGGAGTGTTTCGTCGGCATTGGCAAACATCGTTCTGGCCCATCGCGAGGACCTTCGGGCGACCAATAGGGGAATCCCCGATGCGAATCCTTCGGACGCTCCTGACCGAAGTGCAATTATGATGATGAAGGAGAACCTAAGGCGCAAAGCTGGTTTTTCAATAAACGCGTTGTGCGCAGCACTGGCCATGTTCCTAATCCTTGTCCAACGGTAACCCCGGTATATCGACACTCTCTTAAATAACATCTCCAGGTTAGGCGCGTTGCAGATCGGGCTCTCCGTCTCCAGACTGCTAAGGTGAGCACGTAACTGCACAGACGACTTTCAGCATCTGACTACATCCCATTCGCGAACATGCCATTTTGTTGGATCCCACAACGCGACTGAGTCGCAAGGTAAACAATCGACAAGCATGCGCAATAAGCAACAAAAAGCTTCTTCCAGACTGCTCAACGCCTTAATTACACCTGATTAATTTGAAAACCCGAAACTTTGCGATTTGTTTTAGCGGCTATTCGGGGCCGGACGATGGATCGGTGCGGGAAGTGGGATCTAGTGTATGCGTGGTTCTTTATTCACCGACCAGTTCAAGCCACGCACGGCACAGCAAAAGTCCTTAAATGTGCTCAGAAACTCGTCAGAGCATAGATACATAGCGAAGATTTGTAGCAATAAGACTTTAGAGGTTTACTGACCTGCTTTTGCCGGTGGTTTCTGATGTTCCGCAGCTTCGGCCCCGCCTTCACTAACACGGAATACTGACATAAGGAACCTTACTAAAGCCGGCTTTCTATGAGTCTATCATGACATGTAGCATGAGCCTTTAGCAAAGACTGTATATAGTCTGATTGGTTCATCTGACAGCCTCTCGATGCCGCAATCTCTCAATCGTCGCGTAATCACAACTGTTGAACGCTCCCTGACTCTTTCCACCAACGCCTTTTGGATTTAGAGGGAAGAAATGATAGAAAAGAGGCTTTCGGCAGGGAATGGTAGGGGATGAAACATTTACTTGCCCAAGCAACACCGATCTCCTGTCTGTCATGCCGACAGCCTCTACTGCATAGCAATAAGTCACGTTTCCAACTCCATGTTGTCAACAAGCGCTTACATTAACGCTTTTGAACATGATGACCAATAACAGCTCTGCTGATCGTCCAATCACCACGGGCTAAGAGGCGACCAATCATCCTCGGAATATTTAAGCCTGATTCGAGAAAATTCGACCAACGACCATTGGCCTGCAATAAATCACCCCTGTTTTCTTTTGAGGGGTAGCTTAAACGCGTTGGACGCGGCTTTCGACAAATTCGCCATTCTTTCACCCCATCTCAATCGTTGTCCAATGCACGGCGTTCATGTTCCAGACCTGCAATGGCGTCCTCGAACACAAAATTCCATTCTTGTTCCTACTGCCAGCATTTATCGATAGACACTTGTAATGGTCAGAATTCTCCTCACTTGTCGCTTGACGATGTGATTGCGGCGGCCGGTGATGGATGTGGCTTTTTCAAACGAAGGCTAGACCTCCTCAAGCAACAAATGCCACAGGATGAGGAGTATACGTATGAAGATTTCGACAGCCTCGAAATGAAAATGAGTATCGACTTGAACGATGGCAAACCCATTGTCTCATGCAGTTGGGTGATGCGAAGTAACGGGTATCAACCAGATATCGTTGACCAGCTTCTTGCATACACCGACAATCGTAAGATGTTTTCTCGCCACTTGGAAATTCCGTCAATAACACATCAATCTAGCCGCTCTGGAGGGATTCAGAACTAGGCCCCCGGGACAATACCCGTTCTCTGAAAAGGAAGTTCGATGGATGAAGGAGCGCCTGGAGACGTGCACACAAAAGCACCCTATCTGCAAAAAGGCTAGAGCAGAGGCGGAATTCTTTGAGAAACCAAAATTTCTTATTGACATAGGATCGACAGACAACAGTGACGCGCGTCTCGTCAAAAGTTCGAATTCCCAAGGTATCAAGTACGCCATACTCAGCTATTGCTGGGGGCAAGGCAGCTCTAAAGCCTATATGACTACTTCAGACAACCTACAGGCTCGTCTCGGAAGCTTGGCTTTGCACGAGATGCCTCAGACGATTAAGGATGCGGTCACAGTCACGAGAGCTTTAGGGATCCGCTATTTATGGGTTGATGCTCTTTGCATTGAGCAGAATCTAAGCCGTTCCGAGAAGAGAGAAATCTTGCGAAACATGCCCGAAATTTATGCTGGAGCGGCGATTGTTATAGGGGCTGGCTCAGCATCGCACTGCAATGAAGACTTCTTAGGACGTAGGGATCTGCAGTATCATGCGTATGAACTGCAAGTTTCTCGAACCGATGGCCTTGTAATCACTAATAACAAAGTGCGCCTTCTTGAACGCGGTTTCGAAGTGAAATCGGATCCATTGTACACAAGGGTATGGACATACCAAGAAGGCGAAGCAGCGCTGTTCTCTCTGGCTTTCGACACCGAGAAAGTTGTATGGAAATGTCAACGGTCACATCGCGCAGACAGCGACATTGGACTTCTATCGGGCCCATACGAAGGGAACGAGACAATGACCTTCTTCGATTTGCTTATGGCGAGCAGAGAAGAAGTCTGCTCATCCAGTCTCGATTTGTGTATAAGTAAGTATATCGAAATGTGTTCAGATTATTCAAGACGCCAATGCGGCAATTTGGACGACAAGCTCATGGCTTTTTCATGGGCGATCGACCTGATGGCCAAGGCCACGCGGTGGGATATCTCAGAATGCAAGGCTGCACTGTGGGAAAGGGACATGCCAAGGCAGCTTCTTTTCTGTCGCCGCGCCGCTGACAAATCTAGCATCGAGACCAGCACAGACAGGCAGAATACGAGAGAGAAAACGATGATACCATCATGGTCGTGGGCGTCTAAAAGAACGCCGGTGAGATGGAAAGAACTCAACGACTACGACCACGGAAAAGACTACACTGCCGAATATATAGCGTGCGACATTGTTCCAGCAGACGTTTCGGATCCTTCGGGGGCAATCACGGGAAGGCAATTAACGTTGAGGGGAAATGTCCGCACGGCTTTGTGGAACGGTCTTGCGTTCATGGCACATGATGTTTCACAGGCCGACCGTCAGCCGACTTCAAGACAACGTAGTCAGTCGCCCACTGCTCGGTCTGCAGGCGCTTCAAAGAGAAGAGGAAGAGGAGACACAAAGGGCAAACTTGACTTACCTACGTCTTCTTACCGACGACGCGACCCACTTCTTTCTAAGTTGAAAGTAGACGTCACTTGGGACTGTCCGTCGAAGCCTGATCGTCAAACAGTTATGCTTCTTGAGCTCCGATGTACATGCATTGGATCGGTTTACAGATCTTATGGTATTATTCTCACTTGTAACGACCGGGACCCATCGGAGAGACTGGGCTACTTCAGATTTAAAAACGCTGCAGGTATCAATTGGTTTGAAGAGCGGGAAAAGAAGATCGTCAGAATTGTATGAAGTCAGCGTCTTTCAAAATACCTCATATTATTCTCCTGTCGCAAATCTTATCATGAACCTCCGTTGCACACGGCGAATTTACAGTCGATATGTGTGAAACCACTATGACTGAGATGCCAGCCGCTTGAAAAGCAAACCTCCAAGCTCATTTGTGTTCGCAGGTACGACGTAATCCTTCTCATCAACAACTTGTGACCAACTATCTCGGACGTTCTCAACCCTCCACTCTCCTTCGCGAGACCCTTGGAACCCCTTGGTCTCAGCCAGAAAGATTCGACTGACAACTCGGCCCTGAGCACCAATGACCTCGCCATTAGCCTTGCAATCCTCGTGTGCTAGCCATACAACAGCCCGCGCCGGGTCTTCGGCAGGCAGGTTGGCTTTCATGAATGCTTGCATCCCCGCGTCGGGGGTGTTCTTCTGGACCGCATCGGTGAATGCCGTCGTCGCCACAGAGTTGACCCGAATGCCGTTTGGCTCTCCCTCAACGGCGAGTGTCTTGACCATGCCTACGAGGGCAAGTTTGGCAGCTGCATACGCCGCAGATCCGTCCATTCCAAAGATGGTGTGAGACGTGATCATCACGATGCGGCCGTACTTCTGCTTCTGCATGTGAGGCCAGGCTGCATGAGTGAGATTGTAGGATCCTTCCACATGGACTGAAAGCATATCTCGCAAGTCGGCGACAGTAGTTTCCTGAAACGGCTTGGGATCAAATGTTCCGGCGTTGTTGATGATGATGTCGATGCGGCCAAAAGTATCGATGGCCGTTTTGATCAAGGCCTGGGCAACTGATTCGTCCGAGACGGACCCAACACTAATGGTGGCCTTTCCGCCCGCTTTGATGATATCGTTGGCGGTTGCTTGTGCTGTGGTGGATGTGGTGCTGTTGACTACCACGGAAGCGCCAAGAGCTCCGAGTAGAAGGGCATGTTGGCGGCCTAGACCGCGACCAGAGCCGGTGACAATGGCGACACGGTTGTCGAAACGGATTGAGTTGGAGGAAGACATGTTGAGTTATTGATGAAAGGTGGTTGAACGGATTTCAATGGCAGATGGTGTGTTCAGGCGATGCTGGCTGATTGACCGAGTATGAGATGGACGACAACTGGTCTTGGGCATCAACTTGGCTTTACTTATACTCTGAGTCCATTCCGCAATGCAGCTCTTTGAGACGGCGAGCGGACGGTTTCTTCGCCTAGTAAGCCTGTTCCGAAAGTAAGATAGCTTCATTGACGTGGTTTGTGATATCTCCAAGGTCGTTCACGAGTATGATGTTGCAAGCATTACCATGAAAGGTGTGCGGACTTTGTACTGGCTAGTTTCTAGCGGAGTTTCCTTCTAAAAAGTGTTTAGGCAATGTTCTCCTGTGTGTGGGTTCAGTTGGGCTTCAGCACTGACCCTGTGGTGCTGTACGTAATAGAGTTTGGCTAGTTGGGCAGATCTTCCCAGACTTAGGCAGTTGTTTCTCTGATCGGCATTTGTGCATTCTGTGTCGTGAAATTTGGAGAATAACTTGCCGAAGGATCAATAAGGCTGCCTTATTGGAAGAGCTGGCTGACGTCTCTCGATGCAATTTTTACCAAGCTACGACGGGAAGTGAAGAACCACGAAAGTTGCGTCTGTTGTCAGATTGCAATCGCGCCCCACTTTCACTAATACCGCCTTAGACAGTGGAAGCAACGACTTAATTCGACACAGATGCGAATTTTGATTGCGCCCAATGAGAAAAGCTATCACGAATGGTCAAATGCATGTCACGGAGTGTCCCATTCGTAAATCCGTTAAGTCCAAGGGGCGGGAAAGTGGCGCACAGCGGAGACCGTGAAGTCCGCTACTGGGAATAGTTGCATTGACGTTAAGTCTCCGAGCGCGGCTGGATTTCACGCCGATTTGGTGGGTCCATCATCAAAACCAACATCACCGGCACCATCAATGAGCCATGCAAGGGAAAACGACTTCAGAATGAGAATATTGAAAAGGACATAAATGATGTTGCGTGCCTCTTCCAACAAAACTCAGTTCACCATCGTTCATCACACACTCAAGCTTCACCACAACTCCTTTCCAACCAACTATATTGCACTGCATTAACATGGCACCCACTTGCAATTCCAACACGACTGCTAGCGAGCTCGTAGAGTTCCATGCACCTCGAATTGCCGGAAAGACCGTTCTCGTCACAGGTCCCTCACCTGGAAGTCTTGGCGAGAGCTTCATCACCCAAGTCGCTGCGGGCAAGCCTGGGACTATTATTCTAGCCAGTCGGTCCGTCTCGAAGATGCAGCCTGTTGCGGATGCCCTCAAGACCGCCCACCCGGATGTCATCGTCGAGCTTCTTCCAATGGATCTCACGTCCTTCAGCAGCGTCCGCAAAGCTGCCGAATCAGTCATGTCATGGGCCGATGTTCCTGCGATTGATCTGCTGGTCAATAATGCCGGAATTATGGCTGTGCCATACAAGCTGACGGAAGATGGTTTCGAGAGCCAATTTCAAACGAACCACCTAAGTCACTTTCTTTTCACAAACTTGGTCATGAAGAAGATCCTTGCCGCCAAAGCTCCTCGGGTAGTTTTCGTGTCAAGTGGCGTCCACCGCGTCGGCAACATTCGCTGGACCGACTACAACTTCAACGAGGGCAAGAACTACCAGAGGTGGTTGGCGTACGGCCAGTCGAAGACGGCCAATGCACTCACCGCCTTGGCATTGGCCAGGAAGCTCGGCGACAAAGGCCTCCTGTCCTTCGGCATGTGTCCTGGCGTGAGCTTCACCAATCTTGCAACGCATGGACTACAAGACCAAGCCGCCTTTTCGGCAGACTTGACGGAGATGGACCACATTTACGGGAACAAGTGGCTCTTTGGCATGGCCGATATGCAGATCAAGACCTTGGATCAAGGGGCAGCAACTCATGTTTTCGCTTCTTTTGATGAGACCATCAAAGATCAGAACGGTGCCTTTTTGTCTGACTGCCACGTTGCTGACCCTGACCTGGAGGAGGTATACTCTTGGGCGACCAGCGAGGTTGATGCGAAGAGGCTATGGGTGTTGAGCGAGAAGCTTATTGGCCAGGAATTCAAATACGATGATTGATGTTGAGAACTTAGAGTATTTTAGTGCAGACATCAGTTTTTGACCCATCTCCAACCCGTAAACTCTCTCCGAATGCCACGCTAAGACCATCAGCCGTACCTGCAGATTTCAACGACACCACACAGACTTCAGGAAAGATTGTTTATGAGAGAAAGGCAGTCCAATGTAGTGCTGCAGACAAAGAATGCCCCATGCGTGCTATAAAATCTTTGACTATCTGATCTCGAAGCCAATGATGATGCCCTGATTGCAAGTGCCGACATAGGCTACGTCGGGGTCTCCGGAGGACCGGCACGGAGCCGGCTCAATTGTGGGCCCACATCCGCTCTCGTATTCGATACGGAATTTTTTGAGTGGACGAGCCACGCCGGCGACCCTCAGTCATTGGAAGATGCCCTCTCACAATCGAGAATTTAGACGACGGATGACAAAGAGATTAATTTCATCGATCAATGCCTCATTTTACTCAATCTCCTCTGGATGAAGACCTTGGCGATCCAAGTCTTGTTAGCAGTACTTAAAGCTCTGTCCGAAGCCACAGCATGCATGACTTGCTAATCCGACAACTTGCAGCATCCCTTTACAACACCAGCCATGTCCTCTCTCGCCACCAATACCACGGGCTGCGGCTCTGCAGCGTTCACCAATACCACCCTTTTCGGAGCTCAAATCCACTCAATTGAAGCCAACCTTGTCACCGATTACAGTTTCAATGTGCCCAAGGGCTGGACGTACTCACAGCCAGCCCTGGACGTGCAGAACGCAACGTTCTGCAACGTCACTGTGACTTACAGCCACACGACTGAGGATGACAACATCGTCGTTGAGGCTTGGCTTCCAACCGAAGAGAACTACAATGGCCGACTTCAGGCTGTTGGAGGCGGCGGGTGGACGCCGGGCCGCTTCATTCTCAGCTATGCTGCCATGACCAACGCGGTTGCTAGCGGCTATGCTACCGTCACCACCGATGCTGGAATCCCCACTGCTCAAAATCCCACCGACTGGCTCTTGAAGAGCCCTGGAGTGCTCGACACGAATGCGCTGCAAAACTTTGGCCAAGTCGCCATGAAAGACGAGGTAAGTCAAGTATCTGGCTCTGTGTCCTGGTTCGCCGCACTGACTAATCGTCTCATCAGGCTGTCATCGTGAAGCAACTGATTTCATCTTACTACGGCCAAGGGCCTCTCTATTCCTATTGGAATGGCTGTTCCCAAGGCGGCCGCATGGGCATGAAGGTCGCGCAGCAGTACCCAGATGTCTACGACGGCATCATGGCGGCTGCCCCGGCGCTGAACTGGGCCGAGTTTTACATCAACTCTATCTGGCCCAGCTTCTACATGGAGAACACGCAACAGTTCCCTCGCGACTGCGAGCTCAACGCGCTCACTACTCTCGGAATCGCTGCTTGTGACAGTTTAGATGGTGTGAAGGATGGACTCATCAGCGACCCTGAAGCTTGCCGGGCCGCCTTCGATCCCTTCAGCCACGTCGGCGACTCTTTCTTCTGCTCTACAACCAACACCACACTCGCAATCACCCAAGCCGCTGCCGCCGTTGCCAACGCCTCATGGACCGGACCTCGCTTCTCGAACGGAAAGTTCTTGTACAATGGCTATGAAATCGGAAGCGATCTCTCAGTCATTGCTCCAACCAACTGCACCGGCGAGGTGTGCATCAGCGCTGACCGTGCAAACATCCTCTTCCCCTGGCAAGCCTTCGTTATGAAAGACCCGAGCGCAACGCTTCCTAACATCACTGATGGAACTTTTGACACTATCTACCGCGCTGTCAAGTTGGCCTTTGCTTCCAACATGGAGACCGACGAAGCCGACCTGCGAGACTTCAGAGACGCCGGCGGAAAGCTGATGACTTACCACGGACTTGTGAGTTGCCTTTCTGTCATCTTTTGCCCTTACATCTGCGGTGATGCTGACTGTTTCAGGCCGATCAAAGCATCTCTCCGGGAGGCACACTTCGCTACTACAACAAGGTCGCAGACTTCGTCGGGAATGTCACCTCGTTCTACAAGTACTACCGCGTGCCCGGCCTTGAACACTGCTGGGGAGGTAACGGCGGCCAACCCGAGCAGATGTTTTCCCAGCTTCGAGCTTGGGTTGAGAATGGCACTGAACCTCAATTCTCGCCGGTTGTTGTAACGACCTCCAACAACACTGCTCAGCAGCAGATCTTGTGCCCCTACCCTCAGAAGGCCACCATGAATACTTCTTGCGCCAGTGCCAACTCCACGCTTTGCTGGTCTTGCTCCGAGTAGTTGGGCCAAGACTGAGCACCCCTCGAAGATACTGCAACATCAATACCTTCGTGGTACACAACCCTGAAAGCTGTCATCATCTTCCGGTTCACTTCTGACATTGCCAAATACTTTTTCAAATAATTGTAATCTCAATAAAACCCAATCTTGTTGTCTTGACCACTTCAACTGCTTTGATTGCAACATGAATGGCTACCCTACTTGTGCTCAGTATCGTTCTTGACGTCTTGCTACAATTGCCACTCGCACGTATGACTTCTCATGCCAAATCCAATGATTAATCGCGACGTTGAGTTTTGACCATTTGCAAGTCTCAAAGCCAACTCTCGGTTTCCTGAGACGTGCAGTTGTGGAACCCAGTACTGTTTGCCATCATCAACCGTTTCTCCGGTTAAGCGACTCCCTCGCATTCCCAGTGCAGAAGGGCCCTTGGCACAAAATTTGGCGGTCTTGTCGGCATCCCTGCGCAGATTAAATGATCATCGTTGCGTGACGTTACTATCGCATAACATGCATTGTTACATCAAGATCCCAGCTGGTTGTGCGGGGTCTCTCTTATCTAGGTTAAATGACGTGAGGGGCAACCAGAGATACGAGAGAGATCAGACGCAATACAAGTAGTGTTGATCTGTCAAAATGCCAACC